TAATAACAATAATAATAACAACAATAATAACAATAATAAAAAATTTATTAAGTTTTATGAAATTACTCCAACTTTCGAAAACTATTATAGATGTTACATGAAACTATGCTGGAATAATTAAACGTTTATTCATAATACATTTTCTTTACGAAAGAAAATATATATACACATATATATATATACTTTTATATATATATACATATATATATATATATATAAAAGTTCTCACAATATAAGACACATTAAAATTTTACTTTTAAAAAAGTACACAAATACACAATTAATGCAATGAAAAATATTTTCATGTTTTTTTTATTGATAAGATATAAAATGATCGTGTAAAAGTCTGACTTCTATAATCATTAAAAATAAATAATGCAAGCGTATATATAAATAATTCGACATTTATATTATATTGTTAATAACCTGCAAAGGGCAGGAAATTAGAGAGGTAATCGATTTACAAAACTTCTATATTGAATCACGAAATTTGGTCTTTATTTCCAAAAATATCTCCCTCATTTCTGGACCGCTCAAAATTGCCTGCAAATACAAATAAAAACTGTGAGAACTTTTTGAATTATATGTATAATTCTTGTTTTCAATATGATCTGGTGATGAAATTTATTGTATTGATTTATATATGGTTTTTTTCTTTTTAAATATAATTCATCTAAACTTCTTTTGTATAAAATAAAATATCTTTTCAAGTATTTCAACATAATAGTGAATGCAATAACAAAAACCACAATTAAAAGGTCAAACACTTTATTTCTTAATGAAAGTATGTACTTAGGATTTGGGACATACAAAAAATTCGTATCATCTAAAGTCTGAATGTACATCTCCTTCGACAACGCTTGTGATTGAAATACCCTTTCCAATACCCGACTAAACCTCTGCCTAGACAAACACGTTGTAATCGCGGCGGTAAGAGTGTTGAAGATGGACCATGAAATATGGAATAAATCATCCAGTTGGAAAAGTTATATAAGAAAGAAGATGAAATAAAATGATTCAAGATAAAAGATTTGAAATTCATAACAGAATGTGGATATGTTAGATAAAATTGTAAGTGCATTTACGCAAAATATAAAATCTCTTGAGATAGCAGAGAAGTAAAAGAACAACCAAAGTTGGTTGAATTACCTCACTTCTCAGTTTCTTTTTGTTTTACCGCCTCACACTATCAGTAATCGCAATGATTGTATTTTGTCGAGGCGATATTATTAATTCGTATTGGAAATTGGAGCAATTTCGGTATTTGTAGTCACAATGATAAGGATACTAGAGATATTAACAGTAAAGAGTTATATAATAGGAGTAATAGCAGGGAAAGTAGTAGTAATAAATATTGAACAAGAAGAGAATAGCGCAAGAGTATATACCAATAACAGTAATAATAGTAAGAGTAATAGTGGTAGGAATAGCAGTATAGTAGTATCCGTAGTGATAATTGTAATAATTATAATGTAATAGTACTAATTTTTTTCTCTAGCGTAACAGATAACTATTTCTGTAATCTACTATTATAAAATGAAATTGAGATGAGAACGTTTGGAATATTTCGGTAGATCGCGTTTACATAAGCGATTATAGTTCACCAATTCACTCTATATATACTCACACACCATGAGAGATCAGCTGAGAGCTCCGTATTTCACTTACTTTTATTATTTTTTTTTTTTAATTATAATGAATTATAGCCAATAGTCAGATTTAAATCAAATCTGCGACATTCATTGGCATTTCTTCGATACTAGTATTATAGAATTGTTCAATATCTTTCAAGGTTCGTTTATCGTCGTCAGTTACCAAGTTAATTGCCACTCCCTTGCGACCGAAACGACCACCTCGACCGATTCTATAATAATTTATACAATTATTAATGAATTATAAATTAATGAAATTAAAAGTATAATTTAAAATTATATCTAATAGTAATCCAATGTATAAATATCACTTACCTGTGAATATAATTTTCACGATTGGAAGGTAAATCATAATTGATGACAAGTGAAACCTGTTGAACATCAATACCACGTGCTAAAAGATCAGTTGTTATGAGAACACGAGATGATCCAGTTCTAAACTGCCTCATAATGAGATCTCGTTCTTTCTGTTCCATATCTCCATGCATAGCAGAGACCGTAAAGTCACGAGTGCGCATACTTTCTGTTAACCAATCTACTTTACGCCGCGTGTTACAAAAGATAACTGCTTGAGTGATACTCAATGTATCATATAGGTCACAAAGTGTTTCAAATTTCCATTCTTCACGCTCAACATAGATGAAAAATTGTTTAATACCCTCTAGTGTAAGTTCTTCTTTTTTAACCAAAATACGAATTGGATTTCGCATGAAGCATTTAGATACATCTAATACATCTGATGGCATTGTAGCAGATAGTAAAATAACCTGAAAAAATTTTTTATTTTTTTACATTAATCTGTTTATATGATTTTTAATATAAAATATATACGAATTATTAAAATTTTACAAACAATAATAATATATAAAAAACAAATAATATATAATTTTTATATAATTACCAAATATTTCAGATTAAATTTCATATTTATTAATTATATTTATTAACGTCATATTATAAAAATAAAAAAAAATAATTGTACATAAAAAATGTAATACAAATATATTTTTATCTTACAATTTAAATTTTATTATAGAACAAGATATATTTTAATAACTAAAAAACTTACTAAAAAATAAATTTTATCACATAAAAAATATAATTAAAATTCATACATACCTGTACTTCATGAGGTAATAATTTAAAAACATCATGAATTTGATCCTTGAAACCACGAGAGAGCATCTCATCAGCTTCATCTAGTACAAATAGTTTGATACTACTGGCTCGTAATGCCCGCCGACTAATCATATCATAAACTCTACCAGGTGTACCAACTACTATGTGAACACCTTGATCCAATTTTCGCATATCTTCACGTACATTAGTACCTCCAATACATGCATGACATTCTGCATGCATAAAATCTCCCAAAGCAATAACAACTTTTTGAATCTAAAAAATTTTTTAATATTTAGATAAAAATTTTGATTTATAATTCTAGATTTAATTTAGTTTAAATATTTATATTATTCATTTTTTAATTTTCAGTTTCTAGTTTAGTCTTTTTTTCTTAAATAAATATTTATTTATTTAAGTATATATTTATTTAAATACATTTTTTCAATTAGTAATAAAGTTAATAATTTCATTTATACTTACTTGTTGAGCAAGCTCGCGAGTTGGTGCTAGAATCAAAGCTTGACACTCTTTAATGGTAGTATCAATTTGTTGTAAAATAGAAATTGAAAATGTAGCAGTCTTGCCAGTTCCTGTTGAATATTCCATCAATTAAAAATTTTATTTTGTTATTTTTAGCAAATAAAATATAAATTTTTTTTACCTGACTGTGCCTGCGCAATCACATCGTGTCCTCTTATACATGGTAGAATGGCACGCTGTTGAATTGCAGAAGGTTTTTCAAAACCATAAGCATAAATACCACGTAATAATTCCTCTTTCAGATTCATTTCATCAAAGTTGTCAACGACCTAATATATATTAAAAAAATATATAATACAAAATAATATAACAAATTTTTGAAAAATTTAAATTAAATTAAAATTAAATTATGATATTTAATTTTTCATTTTAAAATAAAAAATATATCATAATTATTAACTTACAACATCCCAATTTGATTCAATGATTCCATCAGGCTCCATACCAGGAGGGCCATCATATGTTTGTTGATCACTTTCACTTGGACCATTTTTGGAATCTCCTGCCCATTGATCATCGTTTCTGAAATATAAATAATGAATTATATAAAAAAATTTATTTATATTTAAATATATAATTTAAATTTATTTATAAAATATTTATTGTTTTTAATTGTTATAGCAAAAATTAATACATACAATTTCAATACATTGACTTTCAAATTATATGTTTACTATAAAATAATAAAAGCAAAATGATATAAATAATTTTCTATTTTAACGACCTTGAAACATAAAATTCAACGTCATAGTATATCAATTTTGTAATAAATATTATAAGGCATTTCAATTTAAGAATATCGAAAAGTAATCAATATCGAATAAACATAATAATTAAAATAGATTATTAAATAGATAATGAATTTATCGATGACTTGATAGATACGTTGACAGTGACTCACGCAAAAGCATGCCCGAACAAGTAAAACGTGTTTTCATTATAAGATATATAATATAAATAATTTTATGTAGTATTTCGAACAGTGTTTATTTTACTTTGTTTTTTCTGTCAAAACTAAAGAAAATTTATTTTTTATTACGTAATTTCAAATGCAAAGTAAAACGTGTTTGCATGACGAGTAGTATTTAATTCTTATAATAAAGATTAAAATATAATTTTTGACAAGTTTTACTATTCGCCATGTAAATAATTGTTATGATTCCTAATCACAACAATAGCGAGGTTATAAAAAGAAGTAGAAATAAGAGATTAACATTAATTTTGCGAACAATGTGACAAAAACGAATGCACGCCATGTTGTCAGTCTCGTGTCCATGCATTAGCTGATTGCCGCACTATTTTTTAAGAATATATCATTAAGTGTCGACGTCTAACCGTACACAACGTAAGATTTACAGAAACATAACATAAACAAAAAATTTATGAAATATAAAAAAGCATGCATATTTTTTAATTACGTGTGAAAAACCGAACTTACCTTCGCTCAGACGTATGCGACATGTTCCGCTCACGGTAGGTCGACGGAAAGGACGAGTTCCTATTGCGTCACAAGGAATATTCTTATGAATGCCGCACAACGGCGCTGCAAACAGTCTTCAAATTTTCAATGAACTTTTCTTATAACTGAACACATAAAAAATACTCAAAAGAATTCGAACGTTTTGGAATATAAACTTTTAAGAACATATAATAGCTTTTTATACAATTTTTTGGTTTTTATTATATTTGTTTCTTCAAATACTTATTGCGCATAAGGGAAGTACGTCAATTACCCACAATCCTTTGCGATCTTATAGTGGGGTGTGTGAGGCAAATACAAATATATTGTCGATCATGTATACACATCTATTTTACGTTTCTAATTTTTTTAAAAACAATTCGAACTTATTTATTAAGATATATTTTTCTTATTTCAAATAATTTTATTTTTATTATTTATTATACTAAGTAAATTTTCTAGTTGCTATAAAGATTCCAAATGTTTTTTTCTATGTTGAATGTGTTTTTTTTCTATATTAAATGTTTGAAGCTTTAATACTAATTTCAAATAATTAAAATAATATATAATCAAAGAATGAAAAATTTGATAATTTTATTACAAATGATAAATATATTTGTTAAACTTAATATAAGTATATTAAAATTTTATGATTGAAATACTTTTATTGTTATTTTGAATTAATAATTTTATAATATATTATTTTATAATATATATAGTATATATTTGTATATTTTTTTATAATAGATGTGCAGATGTATACAGATAATAGATATTAAAAGATAATAGATATATATAAATTATAATTTTCGATTTTAAATTATTTTCTAAGATATTTTAATAAAATTATGTGCGAATAAATATTTACTAATAGAAATACATATTTCATAATATATATAATATTTACAAAATAAATTCAATAACATAAAGATTATTATAATGATAAGTGCAATTATCTTATAAAAGAACTCTAAAATTATTGCGAAATATTTGCAATAAATAAATTCACAACTAAATTATATATATAATATCTTATATTATATTGTTATTATTATATCAATGGGCTCAAATTCGACTAAAAACATAATTAAATATTGAGAAAATAATACAAAAATATGAAAAACTATCTTGTTTTTGTGATTTGATATATCGTACGTATATATATTCGTTATAACTCAATATATTTTATATATATATATAATATATATAACATAATATTATACTACAGAATATATACTATCATTTATTTATATTTTTCCAGTTTTAAATCAAATATAATTTGATAAATATAATGTAAATAAATTTACATCATATATTGTGTTTCAGATAAAATATAATAATTTATATCACATTTTTAATACTATCTTTGATTGTATATCAAAATTTCATTAAAAATTTCAATGCTTATTCAAAAGTAAATGAAATGAAATACTTTCTTATTTTTTCGAAATTTCTGACATTAAGATATAGAATTCTCTATATTTTATTAGATTTAGATTGATTTAACATTTATTTTCTTTTCCTTTTACATCAAATATAAATAAATTTAAAAAATTTTGACAAAAATAAAAAAATTTGAGATTTTTCCAAATTCATATATTTTCTATTACTTTATTTATTTATTATTCTATTATTTTATTTATTTATATTATTTATATTTTCTATTACTAAAAGTTTCGGATGTGAACTGTATTCAACAGCAACATATAATAGTTTCATTGGTATTACAAAAAATTTTATTAGAAGTCAAATATGTTAATATTATTCTGATGCTTCCGGTATTATCGTAACTATCGATGTTATCACAAAATAAGAATTATCAATTAGGAGCGTTTTAATTATATAATGTTGTACAAATTAAAAAAATTAATTTATAATAAAATAAATTTATTGAAAATTAATATTGCATATAGAACAATATTTATATTATAAATTTAGCATTTCTTTGCAAAATATTTTTTTTTCGTTTGACGATAATTTATGAATATTTATGAAAGAAATTGATTATCAAAAAAACAAAATCAATAAAATAGTTGTAGTAACAACAAAAAATATTTAATGTAAATAGATATGCAAATTTCTTTCGCTTTTATGATAAGTATTTTATCATTATTATCACGAATATTTTGTGTTAATTTGAAAATTTTTTTTAACATATTATTATATAATTTATATTATACTTATAAACTAATGATTTGAATAGAAAACTTAACATGTATATATATATATATATATGTAAGTGTCTATAAAATATGAATATTGATAATATATAATTATGTACATATAATTTACATAATTTAATAATATAGTAATTTTATAAGATTAATACTAATTTAATTAAAAATAATTATATGTAATATATATACATATAATTATTTATATTATTATAAATACATATATAAATATTTCTATACAAAATATTTTTGTATCCATTTGTTTTAAAATCTTCATCAGATAATATAATAATTTATGATTTGAATCATACAATTCAAATATTTACAGTAATATTATTATACATATATTCATTTGATAGTATATACATATATATAAGATACAAAATATGTATCATATTTTACATAAAAGCACAAGCAAGAATAAAAAATAATACTGCAACAGGAAAAATTATATATACTTCCATACGTGGATGACAAATTGATAAAAGTAAATTAGCTTCATTCATTTCATATTCAAAATCATCTTTAGTTGGTATTTCAACAATTACCCTATCAGAAGATAATAAATTTATTGAAAAGGAACAATTTGTTTGATTTATACAAGACTTTGTTATATTTTCATAATGAAAAACAGGTTTATAGATATCAAATAGTGCATATATGTCATTTGATATAATATCATTATCACTATAAAAAATATAGTAATAATAACCATTTTCTACAACATTATGTACTGCCTGCATATGTTTACTATTAAGTAAATAAGTAACATTAGTACATTGTTCAGAAGGTGTAAATTCTTGAGCTATTAAAATAGAGCCTCCATAACATTTAAATAAATCGGTTTCAAAACTGGATATGGAAGAATCATGATCAATATTTGTTGCATTTTTACCTGCATTTCCACCATGTTTCACACCTTGATCAAGTAAAAAAGTTGGTTTAACAATTTCTTGGTTTCTGATTTTTCTTTTTAATATTTTATCCTGCATGTTCATTTTTTTTTTAATATTATCTTCAATATTATCTTCTAAATTTAATTTTTTTTGCAACTTTTTTAAAACTAAAAAATTATGTTTTTCATTTTTATATTTTTTAAGATAAGATTTGATTTTAATTTTTTTTTGTATTTTTTTTCTTTCCTGTAATATTTTATTTTTTCTTATTTCTTTTATTTGTTCTTTATATTGTTTTTTTTTAATATGTCTTAATTTTCTAGTATTATATATATTTTTTTTTTGCATAGATTTTATATAATGTTGAATATTTTCGTTCTGTATTAATTTTTTTGATTCCTTATCATGATTTTTTTCATAAGATATATGATTGATTCCTGAATATGAAGTAATATTCCATAACAATTTATCTTCTATATTATTTAATGTATTATTATAAATGACTTGTGTAATATTATTGCTGGAATTAATTTCTTCTGTATTTGATTTAAATGTTACTTTAACTTGTTCCTTAGCTTTCGGTAAAAATATACCTTTTAGAATTTGTGTATTATGATGTTCCAACATACCACATGTTCGTAAATTGCGTTCTCCTTTAACCACAAGTATAGAAGCCCCTTGAAATCTAAGAAAATAATTATTACATATAAGAATATTAATATATCATAAAATTATACTATAATATTGTATTACCTTGAACACACAGAAAGTGCTACACTTGCTCCTTTTAAAAGATAAAATCCCCAATATTCCAATGTATCATCTGGTAATATCATACTTTTTTTGAGACGAATATGTTTTCTATATGAAGTAATTTGTGGTTTTTGTGTCATTTGAAATGCATTAAATGTTCTATTCATTTGTAATGTGTGTGTCTATATAAATAATAATTTTATTATTAACAATAAGTTGCATATAATCTATACAAAATTTATTTAATTTATATAATTATTATTCAATTTTTAAATTTATATAAAATATATTTTTATATAAAATACAATTTTTATATTAAATTTAATATTCAATTATATGTTTTATACATATAATATGTTCTTACAGAACAAAATATTGTAGAAATACCATCTGTAATTTCTAAGATATCAGAATCTGTTACAGCATATGCTACATTGGCATAGAAATTATGACGTAAATACAATGGTGTTATAAGAAATAAAATTGGTAATATAGTTGTTAACAAACAAAAGACTAATATTCTCTTGATTCCATGCATTTTTTATAAATCTAAAAAAGAAATCTAAATACTAATTGTTGTTAATTTTTATACTTTGTGTTATTATTAATCAACATATATTACATCATATATAAATCAGCAAGCATATGCTTAAAAAAGATAATATATGTATTATATTCTAATATCTAAATTTTAATTATCATTAAAATATGAACTATAATAATAAACAACAAATTATCTACTGCTGATGTTATAATCTTGCAATATTTTTAATATATAATAATTTTTATAATAAATTAAAATATCAAGAATTAATATATGATATAAATGTATTTGCATTATTATATATAAAATAATATATGTAATTTAATAATAATAAATAATAAAAAATAATTTAATAATAATAATAATGAATAATATATAATTTAAATGTCTGATAAAACAAAATTGTAAATTTGATATCTAATTTCAAGTAACTATATTGTTATTTTAAAAAATTTTCAATAAAAATTTATATTTAAGTATTTTTGTATTTAAAATATTTCTATTAATATTTAATTAATTTTATAATTTCGTAATTATTTTGTAATTAATATAATTACAAATTAAGTTTCTTATAAATTTTAATATTGTAAGAATATTACATTTATAAAGAAAAGAGGTTAAAGTATTATCAATGATAAAAATAAATTGTTTATATATACATGCATAACTTGATAAAAACCAAATCATATAATTCTGATTTGCTTATTATTTTAATATATGACATTTTCGATATTAATTACGCATGCGTTCTTCAACTCAATCATGAACATTGTTATAGCAAATAAAGAAATTAAAAAATATAACATTACATTAAGTGAATAAATATTAAAAAAAATAAATAAGGGAATAAAAAATTACAAAAGTAAAAAAATATTCTATATTTTAAATTTAAAAATACTATAATACAAAATTTTTTTGTTTTGCTATATTGTAGCAAGATTAAAAATTTGAAAAAAAATATTTTTTCTTATAAATATTAAATAATTCATTATATTTCATAAACTACTATATATATTATATAATATATAATTACTACAGCGTTTATCGAATCATTTATTAATATTCGATTAACACTTTATTATTTATCGATATATAAATATTAAATATTAAAACTGTGGAAAATATTTCATTCAGATTAAAGGATTTATCATTAGATTTTAAATAATAGCCTATATATAGCTATATGATTTTAAATAAATCCTTAAATCATATATGGACTTCGATAAATCAGCATTTGAAAGAAACAAACGAGAGCGCACTTCACGGATATGAAATTTATTTTCTAAGAAAAAATCATCGTATAATCTCATGTAACTATATATAACTATATTTTGACTATTCGCAATCCAATATGAAAACACCAAGTCCAGTTTTCACAAATTTTAAAGAAACAGACTTACTCTCACAATACATATACTTGATGAACAAATCACATCATCTTCCCCCCTTCTTTCAACCAAATATATTCTTCCAAATGATGTAACAATTATTTGCTGTGTAAGCAACATGTAATCATCCAATTTGTAGTAATAATTCAAAACTGGACTTTCTGAAACATATTTTATTTTCTTCTTTCAATTTACGAAAATAATATTGCAACACTGAAATTTTATTATTTTTTTAATAAAACAAATATATTAAAAATTAACACAGATCATATCACAAACCAAAAACATCCAAAAAATCTGAACAAAATTAATTAATTGTTATATTGTATTGAGAATAAATCAATATTTCTTATTCTATCACACTCTTGAATATAATTTACAATTACAGCATATTAATGCTTGAGCATTATATAAATATAATCATTATACATATATATGTTACAATTTTCTTTTTATATACTATATTAATCATCAGTAACTTGTCTTTCGTGTAGAATAATTTATATCTATAATCAAATTAATGGATATAATAATGTCTAACATAATTGACTCTAATATCTATTAAAAACATTAAAAACATATTCTTGTGATAGGTTTCTTATTTTTATTACAATCAATAAACTAAAATCTAAACAATTTTTGACAACAACATGAAAATGATTAACTTTACACATAATCATGTTTTTATAATTTATATATATATATATAATTGAATTGCTGCAATACACATAATCATGTTTTTATAATTTATATATATATAATTGAATTGCTGCAATCTCCAATCAAAGAAGATATATAGTAATTTATCATGTATTTTGTCTTTCTATTTAAAACATTATTAAAACATTGTTTTTATGATATAAAAGATGTTAAAAAGATTTATGTTGAACATCAGATCTCTCTAAATTCTTTATTATTTCACATTTAACTATTTTAACCAAATTTATATCTATACCCATTCCGACACCCTCATATTATAAAGCTAAAATTTGCTATAGTGTTATTCTGTCATATAATTATATAATCATTATTAATCAGATTACTAATTAATAATTCTGTCGGATTAAACATCGATTGCTGGAAAAAAATGGATATTGTAATATTTCGCTAAATAATATAACAGATATATAACTAAGATATATAATTAATAAACAGATATTCAGGATAAATATGATACATCTGTAAACAAAGTAAGAAGATAATAAAATCCTTTGATCAGATTAATTACATTATATTACATTAAATGCGAAAATTCGATGAATCAATAAATATGATTCAAACTTTTTAATGATCTCTTCGAAGATTTGACGCTCAAAAAAATTATTAAACGCAATAAAAATACGCAATATAACAATATTCTTTCTTCTTTTTTCTTTTTTTGGCTTAAAAATTGGCATAAAATTTGCCACGAAAATTTTGCACTAAAAATGCAACATACTTGCCTGTAGAATAAAGATGAATTTATATTATTCGTTCAAACACGAAATAATTTAGTTAAAAAAACATTCTCGTAGATAGTAAGATATAGAATGTTTATATATGGCATTACGAATCTAAATAGAGATGTTTTGTTTTAAACAAATAACAAATGGCACTCTTGCAAAGAATGTTTGAATTGATTGAAGCCACATACTGTTTAAATGATAATAATTATATATTTATTCAGTTCATCTAAATTGGATTTTGCTAATAGACAAAAAATCAACAATAATGCACAATGAATTGATGATATGAATACTATATTTTGTTTGAATCATTTCAAGATAATGTTATTTCTTGCCTGAAGTGAATTTCATGAACGGAATTTTCCCGTAACACAAAATGTATTATCAAATGAAATAATATACAGAAAAATAGATTATTAATATTAGGATAATAATAAATAATTAATACTTTTGCAAAGACTATTCCAATCGATATTATCCCGTATCAACTGATGAAATTTACTAATTACTAATGCATGAAACTGCCATAAAATTTTCATTTTCATTCAGTTGAGAGACAAGAACAAATATTTAGTTATAATAATGAATCAATCATAGTTTTTTTTCAAAGGAAACATAATAAATACATTTTATACTGTAATACATAAAAAAATGGCTATTATAATTACATATATAAAATAAAAAGATATAAATTATTATTTAAATAATAATATTAGTAAAAATTTATATTGATAATTATATATATTTATATAATATATATAAGCCATAATTTGTATTCATTATAATCTATTTTGAAATTATTAATAATATATAATTCATACATATATATACTGAGTGAATATTAGAATTAAATATTATTATTATTACTATTCAACTCTATAAAAACAATTTAAATATTTCTTATAAATTCACTTATATTTATATATATAAATAAATTTTTTTTTAATTTTATTGTATTTATATGTAACTCGAAAAATTAATTTTTTTAAAACAGCTACATGTATATATTCAAAAATTAAAATTTTTTTATATATATTTATCTATCAACATAAATACAATTTTGATTAGATTAGATTAACTGGAAATCATTATTTATTAGTATTCATCAATAAATGTTAATGTTATGTTTAATAATATTTTTAATATTAATAAATTAGTATCATGAAAGTATTTAAGATTATATATATTATATAAGATTATTTAACTTATGAAATTTTCTGATAATATGAAAATATATTTTTTTAAAAAATAATAAAAAGAGTTAAAAATGTCTTAATATATTTTTAGCCATATCTTATTTTTAAATTAAATTTTTTTTTATACATTGAATTATTTTGTCCTTATTTCATTTTATAATATTAATATTTTAAAAAATAATATATACATATTATACATATATTAGAGAAAAAACCCGAAAACAATTCTTTGTTTCCTATAAAATCATATGTATCTATTTAATAACATCACTCAAAATAACATTTTTCATATTTTCAAAATAAATTGCTAAATTAAATTAACTAAGAAATATTTTAATTAATTTTAATTAATACGAACATATAAGAATTATTCTATGGAAAATTGTTTTTACTAAAAAATCTACAATTTAAAGTAAAACCAATTTAAATAACATTTATTAAATTTAATTTGCTATAAATATAACTACTACTATGCTACAATAAAATTTATATAAAATATTTTTTTTATCTACTACATTTTATTTAGATATAAGTTTGATTCAGATATTATCTGAATTATATTATTTAAAGTCAATAGACATTTTAAATTTTGACAATTTAAGAGCATTTTAAATTGTCAAATTTAATTTAGACAAAATAAGAATTGTTATCAGAATATTTCTATAACATATACATATTAATTTATAATATACTTTTAGATTTTAGAAGTCAAAACAAATACAAAAGTTGATATATTATATAGGGTTATTTATTAAGTTATAAATAATTTGAATTTGCATTAAATAAAGTAAAACAGAAGAGCATATATAATGAGGTGGTTCTATTTTTATCACATAACTATTTTGCTCTTAAATTTCTTATAAAGTATCTTTGTATGTTAAATTTTTTATAAATAACCCTCAAAATTTTTTTATATTAATATTTATATTTGTTTTGATTTATAAAATCTTGCATAAATAATGTTCCATGAATATATAATATGTATATATTTAAATAATGATATATGTCATTTATAAACCTTCAAGTAAATTAATTTTTGCAATTGCTTGATAATATCCATTACTGCTAATTGTATGACGTTGAGATAAATGAATTTGTTTCAATGTAGTTTCTCCAAAAATTGTATTTTTATGAGCCTAAAATAAATTATAATTTCTTAATAATATGTTTAATGTTTTAATATATTATAGTTCAAAAAATAATTAAATATATTTACTTTCATTATTTCTGTTGCATCAAATGTTTTATATTTTTCATAATGGTTTTCTTCTTCATTTAATTTAAATTTTGTATTCATAAGAGTCAAATGTAACTTAACTTTCTCTGTTTCTTTATATAATAAACCTAAATAATAAATTATATTATATTAATATCTTTAATATTATATTTTTAATAGTTATTTATTAATATCTTATTAATATACATATATTTTGTTATTGAAGAATCTTACCTATCCTATTATAATAATCTACAATTTCATCTACCATTTTTTCCAAAGCCTCATTGTCAATTAACTTTGCATATAAAACTCGAGTTTCAGTAGGATCATCATTCATTATATCAGTTCCTTGTAAGTATATAGGAATTTGTCCATATTTTTCAATTATAGGCCTAATTATTATGAAATTATTAATTTGTTATAAAAAATTATTTATAAAATAATTTTAATCAATATTTGATAATAAAAAATATTGGTTATGTAATTTTTCTTACTTTACAATATGCTGATGACAATAATTCAAAGCTTCTATAGCTTGATTTTTTTCTGTATCATCAAGTAATGTTAATAATGCAATAGTAAGATGTAACTTGCTTGGTATTTGAAAAATCATTTCATCAATACCATTAGATTTTTTTCCAGAATTTTTCAGTACTTCATTTTTAAACATATTAAAATTCATTATTATGTGACCTTCATTTAAAGGTATTGATAAAAAATGTGTTGATGGTATTTTTTTTCTACTTGCTTCCATTAATAAATTTATTCTACGACGTGCTGTCATTATTCCTTTACGGTCAGTACCAATTATTACTATAAATGTATAATTGTATTGATAAAATTTGTAAAAATTAAATTTTATATTTCAATTATTACTCCATAAAATCCAAAATAAATAAATACCAATATCTCCATCTTCACCTAATCTTGGAATTTGTATCGATGTTCTAGTTTCACTTTCTAATTTTTTACGTACTGCATGTTTAGATCCAATAATAAATGGAAAGAATGATCTAAAAGATTATAATAATCATTAATATTATATAATAAATAATTTTTTTATATAATATTTATATTAATACACATTTTATTATTTTACTTTGACACATGAAATGTGTGTTTAAATCTTGTCGACTCATATGGTACAATTTCTATATCACATTCATCTTCAGAATCTTTATAATCCACTTGATAGTTATCTTCAAAATAAGGAGAAATATTTTGGGCACTTGGCCGTTCGATATTTCCGAATAGTCTGTAACACCGACCATCTATCCAAATCAGCTCAGGTTGCAGAATATTCATTGTATAAAAAATATTTTATTCTTATATTAACTGTAAAAAAGTATCTTTTTTTGTATTTAAAATAACATTATAATTTAAAATAAAAACAAAATTTTTTACCACAACCGTTTCATATTACATATATTTGTGATTGGAAAGAAGACACTTCAAAATTATGCGAATCTAATTGGTTGATTGTTTTGATAGACCCAATACATTAAACCAAACTCAAATAATTTATTGGCCGAAGTATCACATCTACATATAAAATCATATACCGCGTGTCGATAAGCAAGTGAGTTGAATACTCTTTTTTGCTTTTGTCCCGATAGCCAACTTATAAATCATATAAGATACTATGCTGTGTTTTGTACTATATATAAGTAGGGACTAAAGGCTCCAATCATTAAATATATAGAAAAAAAAAAATTGTAAAAACAAAAAAAAAAATATTTCATCAGATATTAGCTGAAATTACACCAAGTGTTACGATGTTTTGCTTCTGATGATTCAATTTATTAAATGATGTACATACTTACTTATATCCTACTCAATGAATTGAGATATCAAGTGATACACAATATCACATAAATAAAATTTAGAATTAAGGCTGGTTCATAATCATGACATCGGAGCACTTGTTTTGCTAGTCAATAACTAAAGCCGCAACATCTGTCATGTAATTTAGTTATTTACTTTTGATGATATTAAGATTATATATGATAAAAACATATTTATAACATGTATTACAAATTATTTAAAACATCTCTTTGGCAATTTGAAATTTAACCGTTCTTTAAGAAAGATTTTTTTATACATTATTAATTTTTATAATATTTGGATCAGAACTGATGATTTTAATAATAATATAAAAGAATTATAAATAAAAATGATACAATATACAATATATAATTATATAAAAATTTTAAACTTTTTTCAGATATACATATTATAATATTAGTATATTATAAAATATATTATAAAAATGTTTTTTTTATCAGCTGTGAAAAACTATTTTCAAATCAACTTAAAACAAAAAATAAACATTTGTTAGAATTGTAGAATATTTTTAATATTGTAAATTACAAAAATAATGGAAATTTAAAGAAAAATAAAATTTTTTCTGAACAAAAAATATTTTCTTAAAAAAAAAAAAAAAAAAAAAAAAAAAAAAAAAAAAAAAAAAGTTATATTATTTATATGATACTGATATATTGATATATATGTATATCGTAATAAATTATATAAATTGACAAATATTTATTTTTACAATATATCAATTTTTAAATAAATTTTTTTTAGAAAAAAAAAAGAAAAAAAAATAAAAATAAAAAGAATACGTTATTTTTTTGAAATTAAAAAAAAAAATATATTTTTAAGACAATAATTATACTTTTAATTAAACTTTTTCATTAAAATTTTTGTATTATTTTTATCTTGATGATATATGTAAATTTTTAAATATATGGAAAATAAAATTGTAAATACAAAATTTATTACTTTTAATTTCATTTGTTTTTATACACGTTAAGAAGATAATAATTGCAACTTACTTTTATGAAACAGTTAAAATTGTTTTATAATTTGTAATTATTTACAATATTTATGATTTTTAATATTTATATTTCACAATAAAATGTTTAATGTTTAATGTTCAGATTTGAAATTGACATAAAAAAAATTCAATATTTAATATAATGCAAAATGTACATTATAGCAGAACATAAAATGCATTTTTAAAAGATATAACATACATATTATTTCATACTAAATGAAAATATAAAGTTTATACATTGAATGTACGAAGTTAGAAATTTACTAAATTCTTAATGGCTAAATTACTAGAATGTTTATGAAGCATGTACAAATTGATCTATATTACAATAATAATAATTACAGATATATCTACATATAGGCATTACTTAGATATATTTTTAGTAGATATATTACAATATTCAAAATGAAGAATTCATATAATAAATAACTATTTCATGTCATAAGTTACAGAATTAATCTTCATCAGTACTTTTCTGATAAACTGCGCCAAATTTACTCATATACTTACGTACAAAATCTTTAGCTTTATGTTTAACATTTTCATTACATTGTAATTCATCAACACTTTTACAATGTTTTAATTCTTTTGCGAGTACAAAATGTGTAAGCTAAAACAGAAAAGTTTTATTAAATTTAATTTTACTATATATTTATTAAAAAAAAATTCATAAATTTATTAACAAAAGTTTTCTTAAAAGTTTTCTTGTATAAACATACCTTTCTAGCTAAATGTTTAAAGTCTTCTGTATTTGTTATTCTACCTTGTTTACAATCATTTTTTCTATATGGATTCAAAAAATGTACCATGACATTTGCCATATTTATCCTAAAAGTATCTTTAATTTTTCTCTCCGACATTGTAGATAAATCGGATGTAGGTAATTGTATTTTATTTAAATTATGACGTGAATGAGATTTAGATTTGTTACTACGTCGATGTCTTCGTATTTTTTCAACTTGTTCTTTGAATTTGGCTCTCTCTTTTTGACGACGTAATTTTTCCTTTATTCCTTTATGTGTTTTATGATCCATACGATCTTCTTCTCGGCGTGGCTATAAAAAAATAATAAATATAAAAATATATATTAATATGTATTAAAAATAAATAAATAAATAAATATAGTCTCTATAACATACACTAATAATTCTTTCTTGAACTAAACCTTCTCTTCTTTTTTTGCCTTCTGAGAAAAGTCCTGAACTTCCAATCGCACTATGAATAGGACTTTTTTTAGTTGCATTATGCTTAGAACCATTTAAAGATTTTTCTATTAAAGTATTATTTAAATTTAATTCCTCATTTTTGGAATCTTCATTATTATCTTCTTCAATTTCTTCATCATCTTCGTTTGATGAAGTTGATTCTTCGCTAGATTCTGAAGTTGATGATGAATCTGGTTGAACTCCAATATGATCTGGAGGAGGAGGTAACCATTGCGATATTCGTTCTTTTACATGATAATAATATGTTCTGCCTCTAGTATCAGTTGCACTTTTCCATTTAGGTGGTAAATCTATAGGAGGTATTTCAGATTGTGGCTGTTTGAACGTTGTAGGAAACTGTTGATCTGATTGCTTTTCCATATGTTCGTAAAGAGATTCTGTTTGAAGTGTAACTGTTGTGCCACTAGGAACTAAATTATTTGAAAGTGACAATTGGCCTTCAGGATATTGTTGATGACAATGAGGCAGTAAAGAATAAGCTGTTGTGGTTTGATTAAATACAGGTGTTTGACTTAATGTATATACTACTGGAGGAACTCCTGAAGGTATATTGTTCGACATTCCAGATGATATTTCAGAAGAAATTGATGATTGTAAAACATGTGAACTTTGTGGTACTATTCCAGATTGAGTATGACCAGATATTGTTTGTGGTCCACCTACATATACTGGAGTACATTGCTGATTTATTTCTCCATCTACAATAAAATTTTATATAAATTAATTACTTAACAAAAAAAAATAAAACAAAAAAACAAAAAACAAAAAAAAATGAAAATAAGAAATAGCAATTTCTAAAGAAAGAAAAAAAATTATAAGAAAAAATAAAATGCTTTCTAAGTTACATAAGTGATTTTTAATCTTTATATTTATTTTTAATATAGATAATATAGTTATGAGATAAATTATATTTTGTTTTACAAAACCAATAAAGATTATCATAAAATTGAAAAGTTAGACTTATACTACTTGATAATTGTGTAATTTAAATATAAAAATTTAATAGAAGATAATAAATATATTATAATAAATTTAATAAAAATTTAATAAATTTAATAAAAAGATAAAATTTATAAAATTTAAATATAAAAAAATATATATGAATTAGAACCTTGTGTAGGATATTGTTGCCATTGTCCAATTGATGGATTATAAAAAACAGGATATCCTGTTTGTGGATCTACCATAGCTGTAGTGTGAGGATCTATGCCTAATGCTAAACATCTAGTTTCATGATCTTGCCATGATTCTTGTTGTTGACGACGTTGTCGTTCTTCTTCTTCTTTAGCTACTTTTAAAGCAAATAATTGTCTACGCTCATATTTTGTCATTCGTGGAATTGGAACTAAACTACTTCTTTCCTCTATTCTTTTATCTTTTGTTCGAATATGCTCGGATTCTGGAGATTCTCGCCCACGTCTTCTATCCCCACGTTTCTCAGGTTCGTTCCTTCCATATCTATCAGATCTATGTCTATAAAATAAGGAATTTATATTTTTATTTTTGATTGTAAATCATTTATCAATTTATAAATAATTACAATCATATTATACCTATCATATGATGTTCCTCTTTTTTCTTCTTTTTCTAATTCTTCTCGGTATCCACGATCTTAGAAAAAGTATAATACATTAATTTTTAAACTAAATAAATACATTAATAAATTTAATAATTTTTAAACTAAAAAAATTCTATTATATCATACTTATATATTCATTACTTATAATTCATTACCTGCTTCTCTTTCATGTTCTTTCATTTGTTCAATTCTTTCTTTTTTTGGTATACGAAAAACTTCTTTTAAATTTGACCATTCGGCTAAAAGACTCGAAGCTAATTCGGGAATGAGATTTTGATCTGTATTATCAGATTTTATTTCGGTAATTTCAATATTATTTTCTTGTTTATCTGTATCAATTAATTGATAGGAATTTCTTTTTTCGTTATTATCATAATTAATTTGTAATTCATCACTATTTGATTTTAATTTTCCTTGATCATCATCTGGAGAATCTCCATTTAGAGAAAAATATAATCGTCTAGACCATTTTTCTACTACGTTATAAATTTTACTATCCATTAACATTGTTTTATTAGGAATTGGAAGTGTATTTAAAGTTTTCAAAACTTCTAATCGAAATTGTTGTGCTTCGTCAGTATCATTTGTAGAAATATCCATAACATAACTCCAAATCAAACGTAAACCATGATAATCCAAAAATAATCTTCGACATGGCTGTTCACCACTTTGTATCAAACGTAAAAGACGTGTTCTGTGTTCTAATTCTCTGCTACGTACCATTAATCTACTTAATGTTAATGTGTGAGCTCTATTTTTTAAACCACCCGAACATAATTTATCTATTTCTTCTTCCAACTAAAATAATATTAACAGTAAATTAAATAATAAAATAGTATGATAATGATAATAAATAATGATAAAAAAAATATTTTGCAAAAATAAAAGATTAAATTACTCACATCTTCATCTTCCATATAATCAGCTTGTTTCTTTTCACCTTTTTTCTTTTTCATATCTTTCTC